ATATAAGGAGGCTGTGGTATTGCTATAGGTAGTGTTTATTAGACAGTTCTAGAGCAGGCCGAATGGATCAGAGCCACTCGTTGCAGGTTGCGGAGATCCGTTGCTAGGCGACGGTGATTTGGCGGGCTGTTCGGGTTGATAGGACCAAAGCAGAGAACACGTGATTAAATCACGAGTGTTATGTTGCTATACAGAAGTATGCGCACACATACGTTTTGGGAATTTGGGGTTTTCCCGTATAGGTTTTAGGAATTTAGGGTTTTAGAGTTTTAGGGGGTTGTCAGGTAGATATACAGAAAATGTGCGCGTATGTGCGTATTAGGGGTTTAGGGATTTTGGGTTTTTGACAGTGTACGAAAAATACCTCGATTGATTCGATTTAGGGTTTAGAGTTGGTTGCTCCCGTGTCCTGTTGACAGAAACGACACCCAGCATGATCCTAAACTAAAACCAAACCAACCCAAACCAACACGACCTATGACATGGTATAAGCGTAAACACTTCCGGTAACTAGTCATACTTGTTGTGTGGGTGAGTGTGTCCGTTGTCTATTTTTAGAACCAGCGCCGGGGGGTGGTGGCGGCAAAAGCCCGCCCAGTCCAAAATCGGAACCTCCACTACTGGAGGGTGCAGTGGTGGCACCTGCTTTTGTTTTCTTCCCGAAATTGATCTTGATACTCTGTCCCTCTTTCATACTGTAGTCCTTCTGTGACGTGAGGGTTAGAGTTGGAATCAAGGATCAATGGTCCAAAAATTGGGTCACAGAACAGGCCCCCAATCTTATATATCTATATCTATAACTATATTATATATATATATAATATGTATATGTACTTGCATATGCATACGGATATAAATATGAATATACATGTGTCTATACATACACACACACACATATATATATATATATATATATATAAAGCAGGTTGCTAGACGTTCATGGAAAGCTATCGGCCAGTTGTAATAACAACCCGTGTATATATCGCTGACAAACTAGTCGTAGATTCTGAACTATTAAGAACGCTGAAGATATAAGGAACCAACCAATTAGAATCTCACACACACACACACACTCTCTCTCTCTCCCTCACACAAACACACACACACAAACACACACGCACACACTTACTTTAGGGCCAGAATCCAGCTTGGGCGCATTCCTCGACTTCTCTTCCTCCGCCTCATATCTGATAATAGACGATCAAACGCACCCGTAAGCAACCACACACTCGATATACAAAGACAAGCACGCTCGAGACAAGTGCACCTCAAAAAATGGAAAAAGGACAGGGCAGCGAAAAAAGGACCACGCACAGAAGATTAGTCCGTACACGGGTGTGGTTTCACATCACAGTACACAGACCATAGAAGTATAAATGAAAGCGGCTTTCACAATACACAGGTGTGGTTTGGATGTCATAGACCCAAACGGTCACTGTGTCCATGAAACAGCACACTCAGACTCATCGACTCTACGGACATTGCCATCTGTACCAAACCACCGTATATAAACATAAAACACCCAACTAGAGACCAATCTAAAAACCTTAAACCCTAAAACTAAATCACCCTATGAACACCATACACGTGTGCTGTTGAACCTGAAGTGGTCTCTATGGCAACTAAATTACCCTATGAACACCCTACACGTGTGCTGTTGTACCTGAAGTGGTCCTGAATGGCTGCGTTGAAGTCAAAGGCGTCGCCTCGATCGGCAAAGCCAAAGCCAATATATGCATGACGACCTGAATGGAGAAACCAATGGATGGGTAGGGTTTAGGGGTTTAGGGTTTAAAGCGTCAGCGCTGGTTAACCATGTGCGCTCACTCGTTAGTTGCACAACCCACGGAAGTAACGCATTTGTGTTATATCTATAACTATAGGTGTACTATATCTATGGGCGTATTATATCTATATAAATATTTATATCTATAGGTGTATTAGATCTATAGGTGTATTATATGGAGAGTGTTCTTAAGTGTATGTGTTGTGTTGTGTTGTGTTGTGTTGTGTTTTTAGTTGTTATTCTAAAGGAGCAATCACTTTACCTGTTACACATACGCACACACTTGTTACATTTATGACTTAACTTATTACACATACGCACACACTTGTTACATTGATTATTATTACACTTCTTGAGACACTTGCAGCACTTGGGGAATGGTTCGTCGGTGGTTGGGACATGCTTAATACACACATCTCTGTACAATAGATTTGAAACGCTACCCAACACAACGTACATCTGGTGCTATAGTGCCACTGCACCCGCGCAATACGCGAGCGCAACTTCTGGAAACCAAACCACCAGGTTTAGTGCACCTCGAATAAACCTAGGTTTAACCCATCGAGTATAATAATGGGTAGCCACCCTTGTCGCCCACACCATACCTGAGTCATTTTCTATACGCAGAGCGAAGTATCGACTACTATCGTTGACAGGTGTAATCACTTCACTCGGGAACTTCGTCACCTTAGCCTCGGCAAACAGGTCACCTACAGGGGTGTGGCCGGGTTAGGGGTGATAAAGGATTAATAAGGGAGATTAAGGATTAATAAGGGTGTTCTCATAGGGGTCTCTGGCCGTAGAGTGAAGATATGGAAAACGAGGTTTACACCACTTTATTTGGAGATATATATCGACGTTGACATTGACACAGAAATATAGATAAGCACGACGATTAAAAAGGGTATATATTTATATATATATATATATTTACATATAAATCTATATATATATATACTTGTATACACAAACACACCCACACCCACACACACGCAAACACACACACCCACACATATATAGATATATATATACATACATACATACCTATACATATACATACATACATACATACATACATACATACATACATACATACATACATACATACATA